TACAAACTGCTCTGGTCGTATCCAAACACAGCCTACACGCAACTCCGTCTCCATTCTCCAGATCCAAACAGGCCTCATTCTGCACGGGTCCAAAAGCATGCGCTGCACCCTCATTTTGAACGACTTCACCCTCAGTCGTAAGAAGTCATGAGAAGTTTGTCATTTGCTACGAGTGTGATAGCTGTCACTGTGGGAAGAGTATTGATGTAACATGTTATGGATATCTGAAGTAGTCGTGACATAACAGTTAGCCGCCTAGCTGTCGCAACTACGCCGGCTGCTGGCTCTAGTTAGCTACCACCTAAACTACTGCACTCACTGGACTGTCCTACTTCAAGTCAAACACTCAGTGCGTTTACATGCACAGCTTATTCGGACTAAGCTCATACCTCGTTTTTTCCACAGAATCGGACTTCTCTCCTTGTCTGCATAAACATGCAGCTGAGAAAATTGAATTATTGACGTGAACGTGTCCTCCTCCCCAAAACTAGGGGGCAATATGGGTCTTATCAGTGGCGCTGTTTCTGGTTGACACAGCAACAAAAGCAAATACGTGACAGACATCAGAAGTAGCTACAGCTGCTGCTGGGCATTTTCGAGGAAGAACATGGAGCATCGTACAGTGTTGTTTTTGTCGTACATGATGTACGCACTACTTTTTCTGCTGATGAGATGCACGCAACTCCTCTTCTCCAGTGCTTTTGTTCTGGGGTTATTGGGACGTGGCGCACGTGCACATGCATTGTCCTATTATACTCCAGCTACGCTGGTTACATGGTAGAGAAAATCAAATTCCAATCCCGTTATGTATGTCAAAATAGAAATATCCCTTGTTTGTGGTCCTCAGTGGATAGTTTCTGATGGCCAAGGGAAACCTCCAACTTTTTCATCTATCTATCTATCTATCTATCTATCTATCTATCTATCTATCTATCTATCTATCTATCTATCTATCTATCTATCTGTCTATCTATCTATCTAATTTAGACATGTATGTGTAATATCCCATTGTTGCATTGTTTGCATCTTGTAATATTCCTGTAGAAAGAGTCCGTCAAGACATTGATGGTTTACCTTTACTCTGTATGACTAATTTCTGCAGATGGCTGGGAACAATGGATGTTGAGGTTGCATTTTTTCATTTCTCCCCTGCTGTCAAACAGAAAGAATATTTGTCAAAAGTTCAGTTTTTCCTTTCTCTGCCTTCCAAAGAGACATGAAACAAAAAAGTAGAGCACCTGTGTTTGTGATGAATACATTTGTTTGCTTGTGCCTGTGCTCTTTTTTTTTTTTAGAGATGAAGAAAGAGGGATATTTATTTGAAATATGTTGTTTTTTCCAGATCAGCCAAATACTCATCACAACTGAGGAGGCATAGTGGAATACAAAACATATTGATTGGCTGCAAAAGATTTGAGCAGAGATGACGGAGCTGCTCTGAACGTCTCAGCTTATTTATTGACCAGAAAATGGTGCCTGTGTAACCTCCACAATAGACAGGAGCAGAGTATTTTTTCAGTCGTTGTAGTTTTTTAGTTGTTCTTTATCCAAAACCTGGTCCCTCCTCTCTCCCCGCCCTTGTTTTGCTGAAAGCTCTGTTTAATCTTCCGTATATTGTTCGTATTCATCAGGAGAATAGCTGCTTTTTTTCCCAGAAAAACCATTTCATCCTGTGCACGCAGGATTACCGTCTGCAGCCAACATCTTTCTTATGAAGGCAAATGCACACAGATGAGATATATCTAGAGGTAAAATGCACGGTGGATGACAAACAAAAGTGACAAGTGAACAACGAATGAATTACAGTTTAAGGAAGGGTGCTGCCATCAAGGCCGTGGGTAACACAATCAGGCGGTGAATGTGTAATGCATCTCTGCTGCGACGTTGTCAAGGCAATATGTTTGGATTTAAACGCTGCGACACAAGGGACCGAGGAATGTTGAACTACACAGATCTAATATTGCAGCGCCAAAGTACACGGTTCCTCTCTGCAAAAAGGAAATAAGAAACATGACAAAAGATCACAAGCATGTCCGATCTGATTTAAATGAGGCTTCACTATTTTCCGCCCCAGAGAGCTTATTAAAATATTGTTTCACATCATTTATCATTCTCCATAACACAAATTCCATGATAGCTCCAGATAGCACAGCTAAGCTCTTTTTCTGGTTTCTTATGGTCCAATCATTTATGCTTTCTAAACTAGGCTGCATTTTCTATTCCAAAAAAAAAAAGGGCACTATCAAACAGCAAGACGTCTTTTCTACTCGAAGGGAACCAGTATCCCTTTCTACACACTGTCCTACAAATTTTACCCCTGTATTTTTCAGACTTCACATTTAATATTTGATAAGAGCCTTTTGAGATTCTCATGATGCAACGGAGAAGTAATACAACAAGTGAATGAAGACAGAAGCTCTGCAATCGACAATGGAAATAATGGAAAAATGGTGATAGAGTTTGGGGGAGTTTTTCAGCCTCTCTTAATAGTAAGCCTGCTGTTACCTAAACGAAAGGCATACACAGAGGACTTGAAGCGACTTTGGCCTGACAAAGTTATTTTGGCAAGTTTCAAAGTCTTCTAGAAGATGATGTTGATGATGTTATTCTGTTTATCATGAGGAGAAATGGTGGACATCCATTTAAAATGAGACAAATGGTTGCAACTGTCCACCAATTCTGTGTGAAGTTTCAGCCTCTTAAAAAGAAGTTTTTTCACTGTTGTGCTTTCTTGTGTTTGGGTTGACTTGGGTGTGTTACCAAGTATGGTCAGAACTGCTCTACAACTTTCTGAGGTACTTTTTGCCTGTTATAAGTAAAACTAATGAGGCAGCAGTCTGTTAAAAAAAAAATGAAGCCTATGTGGGAGTGAAAGTGTGCACTTAAAATTCTGATGAGTCAGCAAATGAGCGCAAAAGTCTGCTCGTTTTTTTTACCCAACAGTTCCAAAAACACAACTTAAATGCACCAAAAAACAACCCAAACCAAAAACGGCTCCGGATTTTACTGCAGACTAGAAAATGAAAAATAAAAGTTAATCAGAGTCAGTCTGAGTCGGGTCTGAACTGCATCTGGTCCACTGACCTCTACCTCTATAAGTTTATCTGGGTGAGCATTTCCATTATGGTGACTATTTGAGTTTGGCTTCAGAAACTAAAGGGTTGATGTCACATTTTTTTGTACAGTCTATGGTAAAACCTCACTGATTCATCGATTAAGCTCCAGATCTGAGTACAACCATCTTCTCTATTGAAAAATATTCAACTCCCAGTATTCAGTATGTGTTTGTCTGCTTGTTTGGTTCTGTCCACATTCAGTCTATAGTCTCTCTTTGTAAATGCACGTACATGCAATCCAATTAGAAAGCATCCTTCAATGTATTCAGTGCCAGCCCTGCAGACTTGTCGGGGTAAAATGAATACGCCCTGTATTGGGAGCTGAATGAAGAGCCTGAGGTGGTGATAAGAAAGCAGGAGATGGTGAAAGTTTTCACGGCTATTTCTGTTTCGGCACTCTTCCAAACTTTCTCTTCATTTGCAACCCATTAGGTTGTTGCATATTCATTGTATAAAAAGCAGGGACACGTAATGCAGTTTCAGATAGACTGCTGCAAGTTTTCCACTTATAGCACTCAGCCCAGGATTGTTTGACCTGCAAACATAGGGCCTACAGGTGGTGATAACAGACCAGAATCCATCAGCCAGGCGAAAGAATTACTTTCAAGCTCCGTGGGAGGGAATTTAATTGTGGCGGCTGCAGACAGCAAGAGCCAAAAAAGACGTGAAAACCTGGCCAAGTCAAGTCCAAACAGTCTTGACTGACCTGAGAAACCTGAGGTAACGGATGAAAACCAGTAAACCAGATATGTCAAGGTCAAATTTTGAGACTTTTATGATGCAAATGCTTTACCAGAAGCTATATAGTCTCCATCTTTGTATCTTCAGAAAAGAACAAACTCAATCTTATTGTAAGAGTCCACTTGAGCTGCAGCATTCACAGGCAGACGTCTGATATCTCTTTGCCAACTGATGAGTTTTTTCATCATTGTTCGTGCTCTATGCGGGACTGATTTAAAAGTGACTTTCTCTGATAGGAAACCGCCTCATGCACTCGCTCAAAAGCTGCTATTATCAAAAATTCAGATGGTCCTTCACACAGGTTTCACTTATGCAAATGCACATAGCAGAATGATGAGAGCACTGCTTTTGGCTGAAAGGTTTGACCACTTGCGGTAACCACGTGGAGTCCTCAGATTACCAGAGTGCACTCATTTTTCCTCTATGACTGGAAAAACTAACACAGCATAAAGGAGGAAAGGGAAAATTCAAAGTGAGGATGAGGTATTCCAGATGTAATTTCGCCTATATTTCTTCTCCGGCCCCCAAGAGTATTGCCACGGAGGCTGAAAGCAAGTTTTAGTTCTCCACTGCTTGCAGATAAACTTTCAAATTCCAATATCTGTGCTAAAGCAAACCTGAATAAGCCATTCAAACTGACAATACTGCCTGACGTCTTTGCCACAGAGCTCTTTAGAGTTTTCTGAAAAATGCCTTGGGTGGAAAAGCAGGGACAAGAAAATACAGCAGTGTTTCCCCGAGAGTTCCCCTAATTTCCTGAGAACTAAGTCAGACAATATTTTGACTGGAACAAAAAGACTTGTTTTGGTGTATGAAAGACTTATTTGTCTTTGGAGCAGAAAAGTGGAGATGAGGTTCCCAAACTCAAACAGAATTCAGTGACCCAGGAAAAGGAAAAGTCTGGGCTTTGGTTATATTACAAGGTATCCTTCTCAAGACAACCACAACTTATTATACTGGACATGTGTGTCTTTTTAAGCAGAGCATATGATCTACAACAGTGACAGTTCAGGCCTTATTAGGCTTAGGGTCGGAGGTGTGACCTAAAAATGGAGAGAGAATGAGCTAGAGGGATGTCCCAGTATACTTTGTGCAGCTTGCAATACACGACCAAAACACGTCAGTGGCTAAGGTTGCTAGTCATGATTAGGGATGGGAACTGATTCGATTTTTAGGGCTGTAATCAACCAAAGAAATTCTTGGCCAACTCAAACCCTGAAATTTTCGACCAAAAAAAAAAAAGTCTGACTGCGGCAGAGGTGAAAATATCCTGACATCAGCACAAGAAAGCAATTAAACACGATGAAAGTTGAACTGCAAAAATAAAAAAATAAATACTCAGCAAACCAGCGGACGTTGATTAACGTGGACACTCTTAAATCTCTCTGTCTCCAGCCGGTGGATTGGACGAAACCAAAATGGTGAAAACAAGGGGGGTGCTCTGAGACAGGCCCCCGTTAGCACTTGCTACCTTCCTCCTGATGAAATTTACCATAGACTGTAAATTGATGTGGGGAAAAAATCAACTTGACCAATCAGAATATTCTACCAATAATTTGACTCGGACTTTACAGCACTAGAGATTTTACTGATACCAGTGCTTTTATAGATTCAGTCTACTGATGCACTTCTTCATTTATTCACTTTCATCAGTCCTGCAGATTTCTGTGAGGAAAAAGTCGACCCCGTTGTCAACAACATAAACCTCATCTTGACTTTCTTTGCCATCACCGCTCTGCTGGGTTTTACAGTAGCTAAGTTGGTGATATTGTAAGCACATTATGTCATATGTTACCTGTGACGTTCTTGCCTCCTTGGATGTTATTTATGAAGCCTGTCTTTTTGGGCATGCCACTCCATTTTTTTGCAAGGCGCACAGAATTAAGCAGATGGCTCATCAAACTAGTTGAAACCAGATCTCTTCCGTAACCAGTTCTTGATTTTCATCCCTGATCACGATTGCACAAGACTTTTTACAGACACAACTCACTCTTGGATGAAAAAGGAAATGGTATGCAAAGCGGGTCTAATTAAAGACCGGATTTTACAGTGGATTTTCTGTACCCCTGAGCTGACGCCCGGGCACAGAGTGTGTAACCACAACACTGGGGACCGGTTCAGACTACTCAGGTATGTAGTTTCAGTTCAACCTGAGTGGGTCGTAACCCCGGAGGTTTCAGATCAGAAAGTTAATCTTTGGAAATTAATGACCTACTTTGCTGTTTAACAAAGTGGACTTGTCCAGGACTACACTCCCATATTTATAAGCTTGAATCAAGCTGCTGGTCTGCCCATGAGAGCAGTGTGAGAAAATGTCGAGTCAGCATGGTTACTCCAACATCCCTAATGAATTGAATCTTTACAGTGAAATACTGTGGCTCCTAATCAGCAGTGACTAAGCACTTTGTCCAGAGGGAGCGGTCCTTAGCCTCCTCTCTCTTTTTTTTTTTTTTTTGCTTTTGGCACCTTTTGATGTCTGAATCACCAGCTGCCTCTGAGAGTGTAGCTACAGTAACTGAAGTCAACTGGCGGGATTTTCTTCTATTATTTCTCACCATGTGGGGTGTTTTGTGTGCAGAGCCAACAAATGCAGCTGTTGGTTTCCATCCTGGATTCAGCTTATAACTGTGCAGTCATGGAGGGAAAATTGGTAATCTGACACTCGGTAGTTTCATACCCTATCATCCTCAGACACCTCCATTTTATTCAGCGCATGTCTTGCTATACGTGTGTCTCCATATTTATTTTGACCCAGAACAAATGTGTTTGTGTATTGTTTTCAAATACAAAGATATGGCAGCATTTTGGACAGGCCTGGGTTAAGTTTGGTTGAAAATCGGTGATGCTGGGCTTATCACTGCATCTGGGTGTCCTTGTTTTGTAAATGTGGTTTATTTTAATGCAGTTTGGCCTGAGCTCTGGAGAAGAACACAAGCACTCAGTATCTTTTGACATATCATTAGGGTGACCATATTCTGAATCTGAGCAATTGAATGCAATCTGAGTTTTTCAGGTTGGGTAGAGTGTTTTCTGTGCGCTTCTAACTCAGTAAGTCCATGCGACACAAACTCAAAACTTCCACACAAAACCCCGGACATTTGAAGGATTGTATAAAACTGAGCAACTCCCCCGGACAAAGCCAGACAGCCCCCCCCCAAAAGAGGACATGTCTGGGTAAAAAAGGACGTATGGTCACTCGTCATCAGTTTTACGATAGCAACCACAAGCTGAATTGCAAACCCCAAATGGACGCCAGAAGAGCTACACAGCTGCACATTGTGGACTTTGCATCTAAAACCTTACTCCTAAACACAGACTCTCATTTAAAGCGCTTGTGATCCATCTGATGGTTGAATACCGTCGAGTGGCAGTTTCAAGATTTGCTCTATTTCCAACAATATTCAAACTCATTAAAGCAAAAAGAGAAAAAACTCCAAGGCGCTCTCTTAATAATATCAAAATGTCTTTATTTTAATGGCATAGTCATGTAGACGTTAAAAGCAAACTTTGACGTGTTTTGGCATCAAGCCTTATTTAGGAAGTAAAGTAAACAGATGCTGGTTGTGGTAGGGCCTTTTAAAGGAGTGCCTTACCAATAGGAGATTGCCGCATAGCCTTAGAAGTTTGACCTGCATCTGGTGACAACTAAAAAACTATTGGAGAAGCACTTGGAGTTTTTTCTTTCTCTTTTTGTTTCAATGACTTTGTGAATCCCGTTCCAAAAAGCACCTCAGACAAACTCTTTGTTGAGTCCAGGTAGCTCTCCTTTCCTTTTGTCTTTTGAGTATTCAAACTCACTTCCAACTTTTATACCAAGTAAACACTAAACTGAGGAAATATTTTTGGAAGCTCTAAAGTGGCCGATCAAAACTGCAAAAGTGGACAGATAACAAGAGTTTTCAAAGAGTGAGTGTATTTAACCTGAGGTGAGACACCGAACCAAGACAAACAGAGAGTGAGTCAGAGAGCGGCCTTGGAATCTTGAGGGGCAGCAGATATGGCAAATAAACACCCCTCACATGGACTACATGTGCTCTTAGCAGCAGGAAACACAGACGATCCAGCCCACTATGAAAAATAAATGGTGCTGGGAAACATACACAAACACCAAACACGCTCACACACCTGGGTACTTTTCCCAGCCGATGGGTGCCGTTCCCTGACTTTGGGATTAGAGTCCACTCACATCACAGGGCTAAATTTAAGAAGCTTGGCCCCTCAGATTTCACGAACCGTTTGTTTCTAATTAAGAGGATCTGCTTTTATAATTTGTGAGCATGGAGGCAACAGACGTCTGGACTAGAGGAGAATCTTCCAGAACTGTATTTTAACAGATGGTTGCATTAACGTGGTATTTTCATCTCCTGCAGCAGTGGTTGCCAAAACAGGGTCGAGGGATCTGCATTGGTCTTTCACGTGGTTTAAATGAGCCCCCAGCAAAATGGCTATTAGTTAAATATTTACTGAATCTATTTCAGGCTACCATGTGTGGGGAGGGGTGCTGCTGGACCCCAAAGTATTTTCTTTGTTCAGATCAACTGGGGTACAAAGTTTTATCTTTCAAAATCCCTTACAAAAGGGACTTCCATAATTAAAAATATGGTTCCAGTCCAGACAACAAAGTTCTCCACACAAGCCCGGGATGGAAAGAAATACTCGTCTCCCGGCCGGAACAAAATCCTTGCCAAAGAAGGTTGTGCTGCGTCAAACTGATGTTAACAGATTTGTTAAACATGGCGAGAGTTCAGATGAATCTATTCCCCGAGAGCATTATGTGACTGTAACGTGAGACGGAGCCCCAGAGATAGAAAGAGACGTGAACATGACGCCTTTTTATTGCACTGATCTCTGAAATGCAGCTTGGATGAACTGGTGGGCCCCTATTCGTGCTCATTTCAGCAACAAACTTTAATTGAGACCTGGGGGTGGGGGCGACTGAGGGGGAATAGACGTGCTTTCATGGTTGAAGAACAGAGGATGTGTGCACTCGCAGCTTGCACAAGTGAATCCAGCCTGTGAGCTCTCCCCAGTACGGCTCATCAAGCCAAAATTAGAGGCCGATTTTCCCCATTGTCAGCAAATGCCAGCATGTATTTGCATCAGCACACTGCCTCTGAAAAGACGCTCAGACTTCTTCAAGGCCACCATGTAGCAGGATTCTGAGATGAAGAAATGAAGGGTTATCTCTATAAATGGATTCTTAACCCTCATATACTAAAGTACTGATGAGGTAATTCTCTGAAAATCTCAATTTTATGACATTATGTTCAGAGTTGGCTCTATATTTCTTTTTATATGTCAAGAGGTTTAATTTGGCTTTTTAATCAGTCAGCATCATATAGCTGTGAAGCTGCTGATCAATACCAATAAAACTAAAACCACAGTTTCTGATCTACAGTAGATCTGCAGTTTGGAACAAAGCTGTCCTATACATGGCAGTTTATATACAGAGTTGGAACCAAGTAGTGGATTCTAGCACCAATGACGCTGTCAGTGCTGACTGTACATGAACAATGAGGGCTGTCATTGGTAGGGGTGTCCCGATCCGATACTGACATCGGATATTGGTCCAATAAGAGACAATTTGTTATCACGCAATTGCACATGAACCCCCGGGTTCCTGTAAGCTCTAAGGCGAACGGGGAAAATCGCCACCATTACGCATACGGTGAAAATCGGGGATTAGGCTCTCTAGTCGCAAACAAGGGGCGCTAGCTGGACAGTATTTTCTGGTTATTAGTACCGAGGCCCTCCTTGAAGGACTTAAAAACAACCCCAACACAAACAAGGTGCTGTATCAGATTCATTTACTCACCACAAAACTAAGAAAAGACCTAGATAACTGTACAAAAACAGAGCTCATTTCTTTAGGCGTGGTGTACAAGCTGTCTGCTATCAAAGACACATATGGGTTAAAAGGCACAAGAAGAACAAAACGAATGAAAGGAAATGAAAATGTCAGAATTTGTCACCTTTAATCTTGTATTACAAGCTAACACAATGAGATGTGATTCAAGCAGTGGTTGAAAACTTTTAAGGGATTTAGCACTTCTATTAATAAAAGGTTTCACAGTACGGGAGCGGCCACTCAAAGAAGCACCTCTGGTTTAAAGCCTGGACCTGTGGGTATCCACAAGCATCTGGTGTGCCGATTACTAAAATTGTATTGAGTGCATGTTGCTTTAGCTATTAAGGCTGCTATTAAGGTTCAATACAGTACTGTTCCCCAAGACTATGCAATTCAAAGCAGTTTATTGAGACTGTATGTGCAGCACAGTCATTGGCTAGAAGTTGAGAATATAACTTTCTAACTGAAACAAGGTTTGCTTAAAGATAGGATATCGTGCTTTTTCCACATTTACAACAGAAAACGCAAAGTAAAGTACTAAGTGGGTTAACGTGTGCAGTAATAGTCCTAGAAAATACATGTAAACTGCACCATCAAAAGGATCTGGTTAACAGATCCATAACAGATGGCAAAGGTTGTTACATAACTGTGACAAAACAACACATGAAAACAAATTAAATCTCACAGTTGCAGTAGGATCTCATCATGACAAGCAAGAAGTACTCAGAAGAAAACGTCCTTTTCTCCTGGGAGTAAATGCAATGTTGATGGCAACGCATTCGAACAAAACACAATCGAAAATATGTTAAAAGGAAAAGGAGACATATTTGATAAGTGTGGTAAATGTCACACATTTCTGTAAACAACTATTTCATTACGACATGTTACAGGCACCTTCTAGAAAAGATATTGCTTCCTTTTTTTTTCTTACATAAATCAGACACAATTTTCTTTTTGGCAGCTATCTTTCATTGGGGTCGGAAATTCTCCCCTGCAGACTCAACATCTGTAAGCAAACAGTATATAAGGCGGCAAATATAGCCTTGAAATTCAGAATGAGCCTATGAGATGTGTTGAATTCATCAACTGCCTCACACACACGGGGATATAGTGGGCTGTCTCATGCAGGATCCAACAGCATGAGATGGTTTCTTCTTGTTCAAAGTGAGGCAGCGGCCAGGCTCCCAGTCTTTGGGTTATTAATTGGCAAACTAACAGATAATAAGTTTTCAAAGTTCTTAAAGTTATGCTAACTTATACCCAGCTAAACAATACCAAAGAGTAAGGATTGATGCAACTGACTCCGTGCTTCTAGAAAACTGAGACGCTTCATGGAGAAGCTATTTCAATAAATGGTTGCACTCTTTGAAGCCTCATTTAGAAATACAAAAAGAAAGTTTCTGTCTGGTGAATAAGAACTTTGGGCCGTGGAAATAAAGACAGACACGTTTGCACGATTCAAATCTCATGCAGAAGCTCTGTTTTAACCTTAACAGCTCATGCATTCAGACTTTCAACTTCAGCAGCCAATCTGGGGAACGGGGCTTTCTTTAAAGCCTCCAGCATTGCATCTCAATCTCGCATCTGACGAGCAGCACTGTTTCGCCCATGGCGGAGTCCAGTGTGATATCAGAAAGTAGTGAAATGTATATGATTATGTCAAGCTCGCTTAACTTTTCTTCATTAGTAAGCAGGAATAAATATAAGTATGCACAAGCTAGCCGGTTTACAAGAGGAGGTGATGTTCAAGGGTTATCATTCATCAGTATAAACTAACTGTAATTGTAATTCTGCAAAAACACAAAATATTTCATGCTATGTGATACTCTCTAAGTGATTAAAGGAAATCAATTAATCTATGAACGCATCAATAGGTTTCAACAAAATTAAAAAAAAATCTTTTTTGATCTAACATGAATAAGGTGGTTGTCTGATCTTATCGAGAAAATAAAGTCAAATTAAAGTCCCTATATTTGGATCTTAAGGTCGCTATGTTACATGAGAAAGGAAAAGTTATTATGTCCCAAGAATAAAGTTAGTAATTTAGCCACATGGTCAAGTTGCAACCCCTGGTCTGAAGAAATGAAGTCGACCAGTTCCCCAAGTGTCTATTTGAGGCTTGTGAGAGCCCAGTATGTAACAATGAGCAGAGAGGTTATAAATAATAATGTAATAAAACCTGATATGTAATAATTGGTCAATAATGTAACAAGTGTGTTCAGCCTGACATGTAATTAAAATAATAACACATATTTATAGGTATAACAAGTTGCTAAATTTTGTGCTGGATGTTCTTATGTTTTGGGCTCAGCCTCTTGTTACATTTTTGACCACATATTACATTTCAGGTTTTTTTTTGCATTTTTAAGAGAACATTTCAGGTCATTGTTACCTATCGAGCTCTAACAATCCTGTCTGCAGAGGCACTGGAAATCACATGCATGCAAAGCCAAAAAAGCCCTTAAAATAATCACATTTACAACCTGGTTCGAAAAAAACACTTTTGGTCTCAACAGCTCAGGGCTCCCATGTATGCAGCAACAGTATTTATATACCTTGACCTATTCCCCCCTTACACTCTGTGAATACAGTCCAGCAGAGCAGACTGGACATGGACCTCGTGTGCACAGCTGACAACGTCCATGACTAAAGACAGTTTACATGCCGAAGGTTCCAGCGCCATTTTATTATTCCCTGTTGGACAGGATTAAACAGCTACTGTCCTTTGGCGTTCCTTCATAGCTGAGCAAAGCTGGTAAAAAAACGACAACACTCACTCACACTGAATAAATAACTTTATACTGTATGTTGCCTGTAGATACAGCTGTCACAGTTTCCCTGCTGTCCAAAAGGACCGTGCAGCATCTTTCACTCTACACTCAGGATAAATCCACCCAAAGCTCTTCGTGGGCATCAAACGTATGTACTTACTGTCAAATGTTCTGCTGCTCACCGCCTAGAGGCCTTAAAAGAAAAGTGCCGGTTTTTGTGCGGTTTGGTTTTGATGCTTGGGAGGGATTGTGAAAAAAATCTTTTTGGCTTTCTGCCACTTTAATACTCGAAACTGTGAAAAGCGGTGCGGTCTGTGCTTATAAAATTGACCAGATTGATAAAAGTATGCTATTTATGTTCCCCTTAAATATTCATGTAAAGATAGAATATAGCTAAAGGGCCAATCTCTGCAGGCGGTGCAGTATCCCTGAAATAGAAACTTGAAAAACCCTCTTAAGGACAAAAAAGAAGAGCTGTGCATGTTGTCTATCACTCCCATAATACACCACTTATCTCCGTCAATGGTGTGTCCTCTTTTTTTCAAAGACACGGAGAGTGATGTGCACCACTTCCTGTCCTCAGAAGACTCCCTGCCTTCTCCCTCCCTTGAGCAGTGTATCACATTACTAATCAGATTATCTCCACTGTTCAAGAAGCTCACCAGCCCCCCAAAATCTCCTCACTGAACCGGCCGGGCAGCACAGGTCGGCGTTCTGTCCTTTTGTCCGAATGACAAGGACCTCTGCATTATGAAGCTGTAAAAGGACAGTGAATGGCGAATCACCAGAAAACCCTGTTATCTGGCTCTGAATTATTAACGTGTATTCAGAATGCAGGTGTCTCATTGGGAGTCTGATTTGCACCTCATTCCCCAAATGTGGAAG